GTTATCATATTGCATTAGTTTAACATGAAATTAGAAACCTGCGTCATATTATACACAGGTAAATGAAAATAATTTTGTTGTTAAGTATACTTCTTCTTCTGTGTGTATAAAATCTTCCGTTTAGGAATACCAAGAAATTTCTTTAATCTCAATAAAACTAATCTAACACTTGGTACATATTGGGTGAATATCAACAATAAAAATATACAATTAGTGCTAGATAAAACTTCCTGTACACGTTCAAGAACAGCATCTAAGGCAAAATGAAATAATTTTGATGTTCATAGTAAGAAGAAGTGAAAATTTGTAGTAATTAAATACCAAATAATCAAAGCTGGTATATAGACAAGATCCATGTTAACATTAAGTAACAAAAACGCATTACAAATAGTATCAACAGGTCAAATTAAGACATGCTTTGAATTGTTTTACACTAGTCATTTTGGGGCCTTTTATAGCTTGACGTTCTGTGTGAGCAAAGTCTCAGTGTTGAAGGCAGTACTTTGACCTATAATTGTTTACTTTTTATACTTTGTGACTTGGATGGAGAGTTGTCTCATTGGCACTCGTACCACATCGTCTTAGTTTTATTATTACGTTAAGGCAACATGTGTAACATGCGATTAAATCTCTTTCGACTTGAACGATGATCCCATTCTAATTTCGATCCAAAGTTATAACGTCTGAGCAACCCTTTCTGGGAACTAATGTCATATGGCAAAATCAAAGGTACTTTATTTAAATCATTTGCACCACGTGACTTTGTCCCTTTTGATCAAATTACTTCCCTTAGCTTAAGATTGAAAATATAATTTATTATAGATTTGCGGACAATCCAGTCCTTTCCCGTTATGTTTCTAAAACTAATGTATCTTTAAAAACTTCCTTTGGCGGATATTTACAAAAATGATGTGTAATTCTAAGGGAAAATGCTTAAAATTTGACTTTTTACGAAATGGGAAGGTTGAAATCATCATGTTTTTAAAAGAATTTGGCCGAAAACTTAAGAAAGCAGGTAAGTTAAAAGTTATTTAACTTTAAAATTCAACCTACAAGGTGTTTCCCTATATGCGAACAAATCATGAACAATATCTTCTTGCATGTGTATTTCTGTTTTGAATCTTGCTATTTTACGATTTTACGTCATTTTATTTGATCTTATATAGCAATTACACAATGGTTACGCTTCCGATTTTTAAACTAAAAAGGCCGAAAGATTTCAGAGTTGACAATGTTCATTTGTACACGGACAGAAGCCTAAAAACATGTACAATTCACCTATATGCGAACAAATTGTTCATTCGACATAGGTATTTGCATATTGGCATTTTTATTAAAAGGGTTTATATAATCCTACTGTAATGGCTGCCGTCATGATAAGGCAAAATGGCCGCTATGCAAATTAGCAAATTACCCCAAATTTTGCCATATGTGTATTTTCATTGTATTGACGCATGGTGGTTCCCAGAATTCAATAGGTTTACCACGATTGCATACTGCCAAATATATGAGAATATAAAAAAAGGGGGAAACAGTTTTCAATTTTACGTGGTCTGTGATATGACATTAGTTGTGAATAAAGCCTGTTCATGGGAGTGAATACACATTTGTCACTTTAGTTGTGCGTATGGAAGATTATAACTTAACTTATCTTTTTGAAAATCACAAGTCGTAGAAGAATAAACAACATCCATGCTGTGTTCGCTACGCGTGTGATGGTCAATCCTTCCTTTTCTGACTTAGATCCTGCTTTTTAGTATGACGACAATGACAAAAAAAAGCGACATTTTGTTGTTTACAACTTTATTTATCTTTCTATTGAAATGTTAAATATTTTCATTGCATTCTTTTACCAAAGTCATTTTGTTTAGTACGAATAAAAATAGAGCGAATATGACAACTCATTAAACAAATGATGACTTTAATCGTATAAGCAAATAAAATCTCTCTGAATACATACCATGATTTTTTAAAATTAAAACAAGGACTACCACAGATACTGGTAAATATGCTTCTCATTTTGATTTAAATCAAAATTTCAAAAATGAAAGTCGGCTGAGAACTTACCTTTACCACAAAAGTAATGATTTCAGCTTTCCTTTTACGAATTTCCAATTTTATGTTACATAATATCTGTAATGATTGTTGCCTACAAAACTACTCATAAACGAAGAATTGGTATCGTAATGTGTTAATAACTGTTCCGAAACTTTTTTTGGACGATATCATGATTTGGTTAACCGATATGGATTTTCTATATAAAAGAAATAACGGATATGTTCAAATTGTCATCGCCAGGATCCTGTCATATTTTCCTTGATTGTTACACTATCAAATGTGGGCAACCGATCACCGAAAGTTTACTTATAAGGAAAAAAAGGCCAAAAGGTGCCACTAGTAGACCATTGTAGAACAGGATCTGATTATTGCTCAGGAACAGCTGAAACCGCACCGGGTTTGTATGGGTTCGTGATGATAAGTCTGAACTTTTTTATGTAGTGTTTTTGTATACAATTGCATTTCTTTAATCGTTTTCGTTCCCCCTGTTTTATTTCTTTTGATATTTTATTTTCCATTTGAATATTTTGATATTTGGTCCATGTCGTCGCAACGGTTTCGCCTCTTTTGGAGTTCATGTCTACGTATTTGTCACTTCTGTTTTGCGTTAGGAATATTACCACCTAAAGTCGAAGTTGGACAGACAAAACGTAGGGAGGTGATCAAGACATTTTTTACCCTAACGAAGGTCCTATTATTAAGTATGATCAAAATTATAAAAAATAAAATACATGTTTTGAATTATTGCATATGTTTTATTCAGTGAAATGGTTAATCGATTCATTGTATTTCCTTCCAATATCCAGGTATATAGTATAGATAAAAGATGTAGAAAATCTATTCTGTGGACAAAAATCCAGTGAAACAAAAGAAGACGGTAGTCTATTGTTTTTCTTTATTTACTAAAGTACTAATAAAAAGTAAAATAGGAAAAAAAAAAAAAAAAAAAAAAAAAAACCGAACTCCAAGGAGAATATAATCATGTTTATCAAATGGCAATCTCAAAAGTAATAAAGTAAAAAGAGTTATCTTTCTTTTTTTGATTTTTCAAATTTTCATCAGCCCATATAATTTTGCATATGTTGGAGCTATAAATTTTCACGAGGAATGTAGCATCTGTTCTAAAATTGAATAATAGATACCAGGAGTAACATTGTGTACGCCAGTCGCGTGTGTCGCATACAAAAATATTAGACAGTTTCGCTTTAATAAAAAAAGTTAAAAGGGCCAAATTAAGAGCGAAGCTAGAGGGCATTGCGGATCCAAAATTCAGAACGGTTTATCAAAAAAAAGAGGTAAGTCAAATATTTTTTGTAACGTCTTACGCATAAAAAGAATAACCACCCTATCGAAGGACTGCCAATTCATAGGTAAATAAACAACGATAACAACTGTCGAGGATTGTGTCTTGCTATACAGTTTACGACGTAATTCTATGAACTTTTTTTGAAGATCAGAATTATTTTTAAGTGCAAGACTAAATGATTTATGTCAACAGGTTTAATACTGTAGGCTTGCTTTCTGTAAATGCGGCCATTCTCGCACATTATTGTTTTATCAAATATATTTGTCTTTTCATTATTTATTATAAATATTATGTTTCATCTCTTCTGATATTTCAGGGCCTTTTCATTTCTATTATACTTAATAGATATTCGTCATCATTGGAGGCTTCGTTGGTAAACTGTACTTGTTTCCATCTTTGTACTTTGGTGTTTTGTAGATTGTTGTCACATGAACAATCTTAGACCAACATTAAAAATGTGTCGTCTTTAATGGATTCATTTGTCAACGCGTAGGTAGCAAAGAATACCAATATCATATGTAATTAATTTGTAACTCACAATGAAAAACCGATGAGTGAGGCAAAACAGGAAAACTAGAAACCTCGTGTTTGTCATAAAACCTAGATTGAGGTTGTCAATCTATATCAATTTCAGGAAATCTATATAGATATGAAGCAGACAAGTTGAATTTTGTAGTTTTCTTATGTCAAGTTCGGAGGGAATTTACAAAATGGAAGTCTAAAATGTTAGTTATTGCGTAACCTAACATCATAAATATATAACTTAATATGAAACGAAGGAGCTTTGCAAGATGCTACCTCTGTTTGTCTTTGGGGAGATTTTGTACGAACTCTGCTGCATTTGAATAAAAAATGTCTACAAGTAGTATTAAACAATTAAAATTAAACTTAATATTATTTGTATATACATATGCTCATTCATGGCTCTACAATCTGTCGATACCTGTATCTTGGCATTACACAAGGTCATGTTTTTCTCTGACTGTTAATGACGTCTTTACCTAAATCCATTGGATGTTGGATGTGAACTGATTGATAGTTTAGCCTTAGATGCATGATTTATTTTATTAGTTGTTTTTGGCTTTGAACTAGCAGTGTCAGTAACTGCGAGTACTCTCAGATCTGTACTTAGTGTCTTTTTGAAGTGGGGATGTATAAGTACCGTGCCACTTCCACTCTGTGTTTTTGTTACTTGTTTTACGCTTGGTATCGATGAGTTAAGCCCTTTTCAACTGATTGTTATTGTTTGTTCATATGTTGTACTGTTACACCACCACTGTCCCAAGTTAGAGGGAGGGATGGGCGCCCACTAACACGTTAACCCCGCCACATTCTGTATGTGCCTGTCCAAAGTCAGGATCCTGTAATTCAGTAGTTGTCGTTTGTTTCTGTGTATCATATTTGGTTTTCGTTCATTATTTTGTACATAAATTAGGCCGTTAGTTTTCTCGTTTGACTTGTTTTACATTTGTCATTTCGGGACCTTTTATAGATGACTATGTGGTGTGGGATTTGCTCATTGTTAAGGCCGTACGGTAAACCTATAGTTGTTAATTTCTGTGTCATTTGGTCTCTTGTGGAGAGTTGTCTCATTGGCAATCATACCACAACTTCTTATTTATATAGTTAGTGTCCAATGGGAAACGGATGGTTTGTTCAATTATCAATGCATATCATTAAACTCGACTTTGTTGTTCATTGTCGTTGATGTGTTCGATCAAGCAAACAGTGTTGATCTTCACATAGTAAGATATGCCGTTTCCTCATGTTTCTATGCACTGATAATTCAATATATATATGTTTGGTCATTAGACATAATGGCTAAATGAAATAAATAACTCTGACAGTTAGGAATGAAAATGATATAACCTCATATTTTTTCTTGTGTTACGATTGTTCAATGTTAGAATCGGCATGACTATAGAATGTATAGTATTCATGAAACGTTTAATAAACATGGTGTTTTCCACAAGTGTTTTTCATTTTGTACATTTCCTTGTTTAGCGTGTGTTATGATATTCAAGAACCCTTGTCATTTCGTTATAAAATAACAGTTTGTTGACAGATTGGACAAACAATTAATTGAATACATATGTAATAGTTTGTTGACAGATTGGACAAAACGATTAATTGAATAACAGTTTGTAAGTAGTGCTTTTCTTGTTTTACGATAGTTTAGTGGGTTAAAATCAAATACTACATGTACTATTACATTCGTTGCATAAAGAACTGTAAGATTATGATAGTTATGGATATAAGAAAATAACGCATAATATGAAGTATCAATGTTGTCTTCGGTAAGAGGCATATACTCGTAAATCTATTTTGAAAAATACGAATCATTTGACCTGGTGCGACGATAGGATAAGCATATTTAGCCATTCAAGTATACTATATATAAGAACAGGAAAACGTGGCTCTTGTGAGTTGTAACACAGGCGCGTCGTATCGGTCAAACTATTTGAGATGATGACCGTTTATTTGTATAGTGTCGATTGCCGTCCTTCCTTCTTATAACCTTGCTAGAGGAAGTTTTATATAGGGAGCAAAACCATGTAAATGAAGTCCAAATTATATCAACATGCACGTGCTTACTGTATCCATTGGGATATCAAAACATCCTTCAATAGGGTATTGATTATGTAACAAATGAGAAATGGAAACATACAGTATATGAAAAATTACCTCATGAACCACATGACTTCTCCGAAAAAAAAGATCAAACAAAGACAAACAGCAATGAAAAACACATGTTAGGAACTTGTTCATACAGACATTGGAACTGGTAGCAATGTGCAGTAATGGGATGTTCATGAGTGCCATTTGTTGAGTAGGAACTGCTCACTATTCCTGAGCACATTCAGATTTAGACTTCGTTCATGTTGATCTACCTTTAATTATCTTTCTGGTGGTTTGTAGATTGTTGTCTGTTTTTTTTATTGTTGATTTATTTTCATAGTTCTTTCTGGGTAACTGTTATTGCTTTTTTAATTCTACTATGGTGTCAGTTTACAATCAAATACACCACTAAGAACGAACAACACATGGTATGGACAACTTGACTTGGTATACCATGTGATGGGTGTAAAGCAAATGTTATGTGCAAACCCCCCATCCCGGTGACTATCACGACCAAATGTTGTCAAACTGTAACTCACAATACCTGATGAGTGCAATAAAGGACAGTTTACAATAGGAAGACTGAAAGCGAGTGCTTGCATTATTTATTTAAATCCCAGTGAACTTGACATTAAGAAAACTACGGAAATCAGTTTTATCTGCTTCATATCTAGATATATTTCTAAAAATGGACACAGATGGACAACCTCAAAGTTGGATCAATGATATTTTCAGTTTTCTATTGGCACTGGCATTTTGTCATTTCACCGCACTCTGTAGTTTGTTACTCTGTCTTTTAGTTTTGCAATTGTTTACGAGGAGCTTTTAACCCAAGACAAAACGTGTTAACTAAACTGTTTTAATATGTTTGTATTAAAACCAAATCCTCTAAATATCTTTATTAACATTTCAGCTATAATGTTTGGCGTGGGTTAAAAGCAGTTTTGGACATTTGTAAAAAAAATACAATTCAGTGACCAAGAGTGAAGTGTCTGAAAGTACCTGCATCAACATTGACAGTTTTGTAACCTGTAAACAGTGGTTTACCCTAAGCTTAATTCGTGTACCATTAAAATTGAAGGGAACTTTGTTCATATTGTTTCGCCTGGGATAGTTTTGGTGTAAAATGTCTTGACAACTACAATGAACTCATTTGTTACTTTTGGTGAGTTTTTTTTAACAATCAATATGCGTATAAAGGAGCATCATCGGTGCTGCATTTCTTGCCAACTTGTTTCTTTATGCGTATGAGACTGAATTTATTCATGCACCTCTCAATATCCGCTATACGGATGATATCCTTTTCCAAAATAATTCAAAATTTGAGAGTTTATTTATCCAATCTATTCCATGTATTCCTCTTAACCAATTATAGGTGAAACCTGAAATACATTGAACTGTGCTTCTTTTCACGACTGGCATCTAGAATTGATTATGAAGTTCAGTTGAGAACTTAACATCAGGACAAAAACGATAATTTCAATTTTCACATGAGCAACTAGGAACGTTCCACTAATGCAGCACGAACATCTTTCCTCTCAGAAGGAACTGTGTTTAGTGCTGTTCTTATAGCTAAATCTTTAGTTTTCTGTGTAGTGTTGTGTTGTATTTGTTTGTCTTTTCGTCAACTTTCTTTTTGGTCATGATATTATTTTTTTTTTAATTTGTTGTAATTACTGTGTTTATTGTTGGTTTTCAAACATTTTCATGTGCTGTCTTCAAAAATTCAAGTCGCGATAAATGTCATTCTGGATATATTTAATTTGTTGTTATCTTTTCTCTCTTAATTTTTTAATCCCACATTTTCTTTATCATTTGATCTCATTTCAACCCCTCATTTATCTTCACTAATTAAAAACAATATAGTTATGCAACCTATATATCATAAAACATTGTTCACCTGCACAAAAAAATGAATTATTTTAGGATTTAATTTCAAAGCAACTATTTAACGCCTTTGGTCCTGAAAAAAAATGTAAATCAATTCAACAAAGACTTCGAAACCTTGCAATTAAAATTAACTTTTTTTCTTGTACATGAATTCACTGGATAGACTTTGTGTTTCGTCTGCAGAACTGACAAAAGCTAAAAAAACAAAATACAACATCACACAGACAAAAAAGACAAAAACAAATATTAATAATAAAAAAAAAATTAAGGTCTGACAGTTTTATATACCCTTTAACTTACACACACAAAATAATGCAACATAAATATTCTCAATGGCACTTGTTATTTTTATATTTTTTTTATTAAGAGTGTGTTGTGAATTCTATTAAGGTGTGCCTTATTCATTGATTCTATAGTTTTTAAATAATCATTTTGCATGTTAAGTATGATTGACAAATTATGAATTTAAATAAAAATCGATAAGACATTTAACAATGGTTACATGTTTAACTAACCGATGCTGATTTTCAACAATTTTCTAATTTCGTCATCCTACAGCTTTTATCCAAGTTAACATACTATTTGCTGCATGGAATCAGTTTCTTTAGAAGGAAATCCGATTAACCAATAGATGACTGACATGAATATCTTGCAAAACTTAAAATCACGTGCTCATTTAACCTTCTTAGTGAGATAGTATAAATATCGAATGATATTCGAAATCGTTTACATCAGTGTTTTGTTTGTCATTTAAGAAGGTGTGTAAAGTATTGAATATTGAAGGTGTTTTGGAATTTTTTAAATTTAAACTATAGTGCAACAATTTAATTGTATTGAATTATGACAGAACAAATATATTCGGAGATGCAATATAACAACAACATGCATTATATCGATACAACAAGATGTGTCTTCCCGGAACAGTTATCAGTTATAAGGAAGGAAACACAATCGGAGCCGAATTCTCGTACTAGTTCTTTAAAGAAAAAGAAGCAGCATTCACATGATTTTATTAAAAAAGATTTGCGAAATATAAGTTTTAATCTTCCAATGGACACATTATCAAAATATTCTAATGACTTGATTGTGAATGAAATAAAAAAGCAATTTAAAAAACGGTCTTTTGAAATAACATCAGATGGACTTTTAAATAACAGTCTTCTATTTCGTCGTAGAAAAAGCAGTGTTTCGTCAGTGTCATCTATCTATAGATCAAGACTTACAAGTGATGCATCTACTGCAAGTTCGATTTCTTCTTCTTGGAGTTGCTCATCATCTTGTTCAGCTGGATACTACAGGGTACCAATTATAGGTGCTCACGGTGTTGGTAAAACAGCAATAGTCAATCGTTTTATGAGCTCAGAGTATATGTCGCCTATGGAATCAACTACCGGTAAGTTATCCTGTTTATCGGATTCCGAAAATATATTTTGTCCAAATATAGTTTAAAGAACAATTGTTTTTAAATCAACATCTATATCGAGAGTTTTTTTTAATAATTTCTTTTTAAATTTATAGATAGCTTAGAACATTAAACAAAAGTTACAGTCTATATCACATAAACCACGAATAAAAGAAGATATTGAATATATTCTAATGAGACAACAACATATGACAAAAATACCAAACGACATCGAGAAGCCACTTTTGTGGTCAATAAAAGATATAATTAAATGCAATACGTCAAACTGGCAATCGTCGAGAATCTTTAAAAGTGGCTACGAATTTAGAATAAACAATTAAAGTTATGCCATCAAAACCACATTTTACCAATAATAAAACACATCAATATAAGATATACGATAACTAAAGGCACAGTTTTACTCGTCTTTCACTTTTTTTTTTATATATTTGCAGATGATTTCGACGAAAGAAAACTTACTGTCGTCGTCGACAATGAAGAATCTATAATGGAATTTATAGATTTGTCATCCGTTGAAGTAGGTATATTAATAATAGTTCTTTTTTTATTTTGTTGTTTTTTTGTTGTTGTTGATGAACACGAAAGTTTGCACGATGTATAGTTACATGGTAAATAATGTTAGGCTGGAGAAGATCAATGTTGGATTATAAAATGGCAACCACTAATATTGCTTTTGTCAAGAAATTGTAGGCAAGCATATCATTTTTTTGCTATATAACTGATATGACGTTCAATTGTGGTACCTTGAAAAATACAAAAAAAAACGATGTACACCTTTGATTTTTCAGACATATCAGCATCTTTATATGAAGATTGTTTTACCTTCGAAATTTGATTTAAATACTCATGAATCTTTGTATGAAAATGTATTAAGTGAAAAACTTAATTTGTTTCTAAAGAATTCCAAGATTAGTTTCATCAAGAACCCGAAAAAAACAAAATAATTAAACTAATATTTATAAATTGTTTCATTTAGAATGATGATTTACCAGCGGATGCCTATGTTGTTGTGTTTTCCGTCCACGATAGCGACTCCTTCACACTGGCAGAGGAATTTCTACAATATCTACGCAATGAACTGGATAGTGACAGACCAATTATATTAGTAGCCAACAAAATAGATTTAGTCAGGAAACGACAAGTCACCAAAGAAGGTAAGATGTCCTCTTTTTGGATTTTTGTATTGTCATCACCGTGACTATGTTTTGTTTATCATATTTATAAGTGTATTACCATTGTTTTTTTTTATCAATATAAATAATAGTTGTAAAATAAATATAGATTCTTACATTGATATCAGTGGATTATCGGATTTATCCAATCGAGATAGTTAAATTATCAATTTTAAAGTCTGCGCCTTGGCGAGGACTTTAAAATTTATAATTTAACTATCTCGATTGGATAAATCCGATAATTCACGAGTAACTATGTAAGAATCTGTTTCTCTAATGATTAAAAAATACATTTTCATTTTTTGTTAAACCAAAACCCCCTTCGAGTGCCTTCCACACTTCACAAAGTTGTCAATTTCATTAACACCTGTTAGCATATTTTGAACTGATAAAGGTTATGACCCTTAAATTCATCCAATCATCTTCTGAGATCACCAGCAACCACACGTTGATTAAATGTTTTCATACAATGAGTGCAGAAAGGTATAAATTGTCAAAGAATTAGAGAAAAATGTATATCCAATTACTGCAATCCTGATCAATGTAACAGATCTAGGGTCAAGTAAAATAGTATTTAAAGAACATGTAACAAATATGAAGGACTGCATTTTTTAATACTGATAAATATAATGTTTTAAATATGTCTTATTATTTTTCAGAAGCACGTCAGCTTGCAAAAGAATTTGAATGTAAATACATCGAAACATCAGCTGTGTTAAACCACAAAGTTGACGAACTATTAGTTGGATTGTTAAAACAAATAAAACTAAAACTAAATCCAGATGTCATTCAAAAAGCAACTATTGTGACACAGGGCAAAGGCAAAAAGCATGCTCTATTAAAAGGAACAAAAAGACTTCTGAGTAAAATCTTAAGACGTACCTCACAACCTGTATCACAATGTGAAAATTTGTTTCATCTATGATGGATGTTTAATATGTTGGCGCAAGTGGAAACATCATGATACTATTTAAGCATATTCATTTGTAGTATATCTAAACAACAAAATACAGTTTTATATGAACATTATACAAGTAAATTTATTTGTAGTTTGAAGCAATACAAACGCCAACGAACATACTAACTAAAACCAATATAATTATATCATCAATTCTTATCCTATAGGCAAATAATTTTGAAAATATAATGTTTTAATTAGGATTTCTAGTAAAAGAATATGAACAACGTTACATTAAAGTGCCTTATCTTTGTGATCTTCAACGTTTTTATAGAGATTTGTTTGTCATTTATTTAGCCTTGATATTTGTATACTTTAAGAAGACTTTTATTGTTTCCCTTATTTTGTTTAATCTCAAGTCTTAAGTGAACAACTTATAAAATGAATGATATATTGTCATTTCTTTTATTGTTTTTGGCGATTTGTACACTCATATGCTGTTATCATATATATGCAACAATGGCAATTGTATTGTATTATTGTTTACCATGAAATTGTTATTAAACATTGTTAAACTGTTAATGCTATTGTTACATTATCACGAATGAAAATATTGAGAAATAAATTAAAATATATCATGTTTTATTTTTTAAGAGATTACTTTAAACAAGATTTAAAATTGATTGGACATCCTACTGTTTTGTTTTGGGCGTCACTAATCATTCTTAGTAAGACGAAACGTGCGTCTGGCATACTTATTATAGAGATAAAATATACCTTTGTAATATGAGTAATTAGTATCGACATTAACTAACCAAGACAATTAAGTTAACAGACGACTTTGATATTTTTTTTATTTTTAATACGTTGTTGGTCTGTTTTATAACTGAACTTTACAAACATGGAGATCATTTAATATTACCAATGATTGCGTACTCCCATTCATGTGTAGCATTATTCCAGAAGGGCCATTGGCTTCCATCTTAGTATATCCTTCCTTTTGTTTTACTTAGATCACTCACATTACATTATGCACAGCTGGACATGCTTAGCACTTTGAGGCAACAAGGGTGTCAGTGAAAAGATCTCTTTTGACTTATCATTATCTGCATGCAATTTAAACTATTTGCCTGAACCACCCTTCCTGTGAATGGACCAGAGTAATGTAAATCATCATTGTATTGACGCGTGGTGCATGAGAAAAGCCTTTCATGATTTTCCTCTTTCAAGAAAGCTCAACTCCTAAACTTCAAACCGAAGGATATTTTGGTGTTTGAAAATGTGAATCGATATATGACCACAAGATTATCTGAAACAATAATCGATTTCATGTTAGGTAAAAAAAAAATCAAAAAACGATAAAACGAGCAAAAGACAAGCAACAGTCTACAACATCGAACACTGAACATGCTGAAGACTGAACAAATCTAACTCCCTTATTTAACCTGCTAAATATAAGCATTTATGAAACATAAAAAAAACTAAGTTAGTCTTAAGGATGTTATTGGGTTAAGGAACATTTCGACTAAACTAGCATATAGCACACTCATCTCCAAAAACAGAATACTTTTGGAAACAAAAAAAAACCCGATTCATTTTTACACCTACCATTTTCGTGTGACTAGTTTTATCGTGGGAAAGAGGCGGCAGATACTAAAAGGAGAATCTTAAACCGACAAAATCATTGCAAAAAACATTAAAAAAAAAAAAAACGAGAAACAACAGTCTGCACAGCCCTTTACACAAAAATGAAACTAACAAATACAAAATTGATAAAGAGTACTTACAAACATAATCAAGAATTGATAAGTTCAGTTATGTAAACAATTGATTTTCTTCTTCCATCCAAAGGTCATCTTATAATGTGATCACATTGGATAGTACATTATTCATTCCAATAACAGTTATGACAAACCATTTGGACATGTTTTCTTCCGGAACAATAACAATAAGTTCGTATTCTCATACATGATTATCAACTTTAAGATATTGATATGACCCATATTAGAATTATATTCGGTGTTTACAAATATGCAGAATTAAATGTTGAATATATGTACTTTGATGAGATATTGAAGTTTTAGTTAAAACATATTCCAGTCAAAATTGAAACAGCCATAAAAAGTACCTTCAGCAAAATGGCAAATTTTCCCCAAAATGAGACAATTCGACTCACAGATGCTTAGAATTATAATAAATCAAATGCCTCGCCTACAATGTATTTACACAGACAGTTTTTTTTGTATGTATCTACTTTCTGACAAAAAAATGTTTTGGGCGATGCTTTGGTTCTGTATCAATTAGGCCGAAATGATTCTTGATTACGGTAAATTATCCATATGATGTTACTCTATTGACGTGACGTTATATTCCAAGTGAGTCAACAAGACTAACCTAATAGTTTGATTTTCATAAAGGCTTACATTTAGCATGCAAAAATGTTATCCATAAGTACATCGTGTAATTATTTTAATTTTGGTCAATTTACAAGGCCAAATACAAGTACATTCTCTTTTAATAAATATCACGAAAGAAAGGTGCCAACTATATGCGGCAAAGTTAACATTACATGAACTTGTTTTAAATTGAAGATCCCTTTTTTGGTCCTAAAGGGTTTTACGTATTTCAGGACTTACACATCTTATGCATTTTCTTTGGTTTAAGCTTTCCTGAAGAAGAAAAGATATTTATGATGCACAAAATGTATGAAATGTAATTGTTATTAAAGGTTACAACAAATTCAAAGTACAACTATTCAGTTTAATTTTGTACTTTATATGCAAAACATTATGAGTAATTCCTTATATCCCATCTGCGAGATTTTTTTTTAAAGATAATCCTAATGTAAAAGTATAATATATGACTAGGAAATGACTACTAATTCAAATATAGATGCAAAGTTTAATTCTTGAACGTTAAGGTAACGCCACACTCACACCACGTGCGGTCTTTAAATGATATCAAATCTGATTAAGCAGTTGGCGCTTGAATTCATTGTTAGACAAGGCTTATGTCGATTTTGATTGTTTTGTTCAACTTATTTTTATTTCTATCAAACGTTTCATAGTTTTAATGATTGGTTGTCTTTAAATGAATATTGGAAATTTTTTGGTAACTCAATGAGACCATTTCCTTGCATCTCATAACTCAAAGAGAACACAAAATTGACGCATATAAAGAAAATTCGTCAGGGTTCCGCGGAACCCAGTGTCTCGCCTACTTTTGCTGTTAGTCACAGGATCAACAAAAAATGGGGAAAAATTATTAAAAATTTTCCTCTAGATACTATCTTTTGATTGTAAGAAGTTCTGTTGAAATTTGGTAAAAATCCAAGAAGGTTTATGAATCTAATAAATGTTTTAAATACTTTAACTGCAGATCGTTCGTAATGTTAACTGGAATAAAACTAAGTCCATGTATAAGTAATATACGGAAAAACTGGAAATAAATTTTTACAAAATTTACTCCTAGATACTAGTTTTTGATCATAAACAAGCTTCTAAAGAAAGAAAGAAATTTATGTATTACTGAAAAATGATTACACCAGGGTTTTCGATATCATAAACTAGTCAAAACATTTACTAAAATTTATCATCGGTATAAGGACATCATTCGTAAATGTAACTCAACAAGCAGACATCGTATACGTTCGGGTATTTCACATCCAATCTTTTATGGTAATATTCTTTACAAAGCACAAAAATGTCAGTATTCACCTCAAAAGCTAACAAAACCCTTAAACAGACTAATTAAGAAGGGATAGAGATACGATAATCAGGTCATTAAAGATTGCATATTTTGGCTTTAATATTGATTCACTTATAGGGTCTTGGCATCGGAATTAAACATATTTATTCTAAAACCAGTTGTTGGCATGACACGGGTTATGTTCATCTCATATATTTTATGATGGTATAATACTAAACCCCTAACAGAAGGGATTGTGCCTGCTATTCATATGATGAAGACATAATCTTTCAATCAGTTTAATTGAGGTCTGGAGCTGGCATGTCAGTAACTGCTAGTAGTCTGTTGTTATTTATGTATTATTGTCATTTTGTTTATTTTCTTTTGTTTCCTATTCTGACATCGGACTCGGACTTCTCTTAAACTGAGTTTTACTGTGCGTACTGTTGTACGTTTGTTTTTTCTACATTGGCTAGAGGTATAGGGTGAGGGTTGAGATCTCAAAAAACATGTTTAACCCCACCGCATTTTTGCGCCTGCCCCAAGTCAGGAGCCTCTGGCCTTTATTAGTCTTGTATCATTTTTAATTTTAGTTTCTTGTGTATAATTTGGAGTTTAGTATGACGTTCATTATCACTGAACTGGTATACATGTTTGTTTGGGGGCCAGCTGAAGGACGCTGCATTGAAGACCCATTGGTGGCCTTCGGCTGTTGTCTGCTCTATGGTCGGGTTGTTGTCTCTTTGACACATTCCCCATTTCCATTCTCAATTTTATTCTGTCCAAGTTTGGAGCAAATCCAGGATAGTTTAAGAAAAACTTTAACCACAGAGTGAATGTAGTGTTAACTGGCAGAAAAACTAAGTCCATTTATGAGTAAATTACGGATAAACAGGATTTGTTTGTAAAAAAATTACTTCTGGATACTATCTTATGATCATAAAAAAAAGCTTCTGTCCAAGTTTGGTTGAGCTAAATAATACACATTGCATTTGTAATCATACAATTATAGCAACAAAATTTATAGGCTATGCTTCGGCTTAATTTTAGATGGATACGATGTTATGTTATCTGATATTTTGTGTTTGATATTTGCTACTCTCATTATAACGATTCTATCAAAATCTAAACATCTGTCAGTTAGTCATTGTTTAGCATTTTTTTGGCATCTAAACATTTGTCAAATGTTACGTTATTGATACATAACATGCATTTATAAAGAAGAACCTATACTAAACATCTGACAATTGTTAAACTCTTAGAAAGCATTTCAAATGGAATGTTAAGCTCCGCTTCATTGGCATTCCACAATTCCAAATTTGAAATTTATTTCCATTAGG